GGGCACTGCATGAGCAGTGGCGGGGCGCTGGGCGGGGAGCTGGGCGCTTGCGGTGCCGGAGGATTACGAGTTTCGAGTGCACCGATTCGGAAGGACGTGTGATCTGTAGCGCTTTGCGGCTCCTGCACACCGCCCTGCGCCCTTACCCCTCCCTTACCCCACTCTCACTCCAAACTTACCCCGCCCCCTCCCCGCCCCGCCACTCTGTATGGCGAGCATCAGAATTGCTCTACCGGGAGCAGTGCCCCTCCCCCTCGGATACGGATCCTGGCCCATCGGGCTGGAGGAAATGGTGCCGCTGCCAGGAATGGGGATGGGGCGGGACCCGGCGGGGTGGCGTGCAGGCAAAGGAGACCGTGCCTACCTTGCGGCCGTGGCAGGCCGTGGCCACGCCAGCCGTCCCCCCGACCCGTAAAGCGCAATGCTGATGCCCTTTTGCCTGCATCTCCAATCTCGGCCCGGGCCGATTCTCCTGTCTCCCTCACACCTCAAAGGGACGCCCCAGGAGAGTGAGAGAGGCAGTGCGACGAAAGCACAGCTCGGCCGGGGATCGGTTGCAGACATCCTTCTGTATAAAGGAGTCCGGGCCGTGCTGGCGGGGGAGTCTTTGTTTGACTCGAGATCAGCAACTCAAACTTATATCGCAAGAGTGGAAACTCAGTAAGCCGCTTGGGGCGGGTAAACAAGGCGGCGTTGTGTGGTGAACGTCTTTCTCCAATATGTGGCCCGGCCACCCGGCGAAGGGTTCCAGGTCCAGCTTGGCTTCCTCGACGTGGTCCTCAAAAATTACGAAAGGGGGACAAACTTATCTGGGCCAGAAAAAACACCTTCCGCCCTTGTGATGCGGCTTGCCTTTCGATTACCGTACCTGTCACCGCGCCGGGCCACGCCGGGCCGCACCGCGCCGCCCGACGTGAAACACGTTATTACCAAGTTGAAGTTAAACGAACTGGGGCTGCTGTGGCTTCCGCTATTTCCGGGCCGTGCCCAGCCACGCCACGTGCCGAGCGGTCCCAGTCTTGGCGGGCCTCGCCGCCGCCTTGCCGCTCACACGCGCGGCTGGGTATCACTGTGTGGCGACGTGACGGTGCCGTGAGCGTGACGCGGCCGTCACACCGCGCGTCACAGTCACACATCGATTACACGTTCCTCCGAGCACATTCGCCTGGCCTTCCCTCCTTGCGTCCCTAACCAGCAAGCAGCGCGCGTGGACCCCCGAACCGGCACATCGCGGCTCACAGAGCACACCGCCGCTCCCTCACGCACACCCCGACACGCGCCGACACACACACGTGCGCACTCTAACACCTTATTGGACACGTGCACACTCATCAGGAACGCCGCCGCCAAACCACGCAACTAGACGAGCAGACGTGCGGAAGCGCACCCCAGTACCGCGTACACACCTACATGCCATACACCAACACACACATACACGCACGCGCAGAGTTACAAGAGAAGCGCAATGAAAGTGTGCGCTGCGTCAGGAACAGGCAGCAGCGGCCCGCGTGGCGAAGGTCAGTGTGTCAGGCCTGGGGCGACCGTGGCGCGGCGTGGGTGAACCGTTTTGAATCCGAGGGGGCTCGGTTGAAGTGGAGAAGCGCACCCCGTGCGTCCCGGCGGCTGGGTTGCCTGCGTCCGCCCACACCTTGATACTGCTACTCAAAATCTTTACGATGCGCCGCCGTAAAAGCGAGCTCCACTCCGTGCCCATAAAATTTCAACATTCGTCCGGCCGTGGCGCCATGACCTGACCATGCGCGTTTGGCGTTCGGCACGCCGCGGCACGGCGCTGCATCTTTCATGAGCTTTGCAGCCGACTTCCCGGCTAGGCTTCCAGCGCATGCGCCGTGCCTGGTCACGCGACGCCCGCCGCTTTGCACGCTTTCCGCGCTTTCCACGTCGCTTTCCGCACTTAAATCGCTTTTGACACCTAAACCACTTCCTATACTTAACTTTCTTTCCAACGCGCTTTAAAAAGCTTTCCGATTTCTGCGCTTTCCACACAGCTTCCCACACTTAAATCACTTTCCACACTTAACTCGCTTTCAAAATCTTTGCGCTGTCCGTGCTTTTCACGCTGTTAAGGCTTTCCACGCAGCTCGGCCGCGACCATTGGCCCGCCCAGCGGGGCGGCGGCAATAGAACTAATACGGCCGAAAGCGGAAAGTAAACAGGATGCTGGCCTTGGCGCGTGTTTTCGACTCGCTCTTTCCACTCGATTCCTCCCGACAGCAGGCCCGGCCGATTCGGCGGCCCGAATGGAGTAAACTCGGTTAATTGAAAAGGGCGGGGTGGAGCGGGGATGAGCAAGGTGGGTGCGGTGAGTCAAGTGGCGGCCAGTATGGAAATTGTCGGCGTGTTGCGTAACCCCACCTTCCCCGCCCCCGGCGCCCCCGGCCATGGGTCTCCGAGGGCTGCAGGGGCTGCTGGGCCCACTGACCGGCTCTCCCAAGGCCGAGACCGCCACCGCGACTTTGTTGGAAACTTTGCGACTGACGCCCCATCTAGTTTGGCCGGACAGTCGGACTCTCTCCGGAAACCACCTATGTCTTTACTGCAGGCTGCATGGGAAAACCAGGAAACATCTTTTGCCGTGTGCTCTTTCAAGACGGGACTCCTCCTGCCGCGCAAAGATATTCGATGAGTGCCTCGCCCCGCCTGCACACGTTCCTCAGAACAAAGTCGTGTGTGTTCCCGACGTACCTGCGGCGCAACGGGGTCGCGCCGCGGGCCTGGGGCGCGGTGCTCGGGGCAGGGCGAGGTGGGTGCGCCAGTTGGATATGATAAAAGCGGGGGCGGGGCAGCCGGCCACCGGTGTGCCGTCCACACAGCTCCGTCACAATCCCAGCGTGTGTCCACATAATTTAGAAGCCCCCCGCTGAGCCCCCCACCCTCTGCTCCCTAATTCGGCCTTCTGACCTTCGCCCCCCCCCCCCCCCTGCCCTTATCTTGCACCTGTCCAGATTACACTCGCTGTTAATCACTCCTCATTTCGCTGTGGCCTTCCTTTCCTTTCGTCTTCTTTTCCTTCTTGTTTTCCTTGTCTTTTCTGTTCCTTTTTCTCCACCCCGAGAAGCGCGCGCGTTTGCCGGGACCGAGAGGTGCAACTGCTCCAGCCTTCAAGGTCGTGCCGGATAGACGTGGCGTCGGCCTGTCCCGCTGCTTGGCTACCCGGAGTACCTGGGGTACCTGCGCACTCCAACGGCGGTAGTGCTGCCTGGAATGCTCCTTCCTTACAAACAACCCCGAAAGGAACGACCATGTCTCCTTCCTGTACTGAATGTTGTCCCGTGGCCCTTTTTTTCGTGCTATTCAGTGGCAAAGAATGTTCCTTTTCATTTTCAGGAGCACCCGTCCGCACGGGGCGCGCGGACGCGGACATGCCAGTGTAATACGCCCGCACCCCCTCTCCCTCCGGCCACAACTAATATCGTCAATAATGGCGCGGGAGCGATTCCTCACTGATCCGCGCGACCCTCTCTTTCCCTCTCTCGCTGCTTCTCCCGCTCCCTCTCCCTCTCTCGCGGTTCGCGGTGAGGCGACGACAGCGACGGCGGGCCTGGGTGGGGCGGGCCGCTGCCGAAGAATGCCCAAGTTATGGCCTCAATGCCCCCCACCACCATTTCATCGGATTCTTCCAAGCTTATCACGCTTTAGTTCCAGTGCGGGTAATGGATGGGGGCTGGAGCACACGAGAGAGACATGCTGCCAGCACCGGTGATTGGCTTCATTGGAAGACAAAAGGTGTGTGTGTGTGTGTGTGTGTGTGTGTGTGTGTGTGTGTGTGTGTGTGTGTTTCGCTGCCGGCGGTCAGAATGTGTGCCAATTATAAACGCCAAATTCACGAGGTGTCGCGCTCCGCGGATTCGACCTCTATAAGTTTGGGGACACAAGACCTCGCTCCTCGCGGGGACCCGGCGGGCCGAGCGGTGCCGAAAAGTCGCTCCGTTGCTCTGTCTCTCTCGCTCCCTTTTCGGGCCTTGGTGCCCCCGTGAGTGCGACGGCGACAGCGCTACGCGGGCTGCAGCCCAGGACGGCGCGACGGCCGGAATGCGGCGAATGGGGGAGATAAATGCCGCCCCAATAGTTTGCTGAAAGCAGCGCAGACCGGCGTGGCCCGGCCCGGCGCAGCGGTCCGCGGAATGCCAACTGGACACAAACACGCACAAAAAGGGGAAAGGAAGAGTGAGGAAGTGCCTCCGAAGTGAGAATAGTGGGAAGTGACGGCGGGGACGACGACGGCCACCCTTTTCTCCGAGAGCGCCAACAGTGCGGCGGGCTTCGGTGTGCTTCGGCGGGACGGGGAGGACTTGAATGGCCCGGAACCGTGGATGGGCGGTGGGGGCGGCGGGGCGTCCAGCGTGCCCTGCCCGTCTCTTTCAACCTATAACCCCCCACCCCCATTCCAGGGCCCAGTGTTTGTAACCGGGGCCAGCGTGCCCTGCGCTATCTCTCACACGTTTCTAATTTCTCCCAGCCCCGCAGCGCTCCGGCAAGATATTGTATGTGGCGTGGCGTGGCCGAAAGGGGAGGGGTGACTTGGAGTTGGCAACGCGGGGTGTGGCGGTGTGGACCGTGCGGACGCGCCGAACCAATGTCTTTCCATTGAAGCGCAGGCGCGCGTGAAGAGAAGAAGCACCTCTCGCTGGACAGCCCTGCCGCCATGAGGACAGGGTGGCGGCTCTTCGCCCTATCTCTCTCACTCACGGAGCGTGACGTAAAGTTTCGAGAGAGGCAAAGAGCGACGTGGGTGCTGTTGGCAGTCCACCTAGGCACGGCGCTCTGTGCGTTACATGCATGACTGTCCGAGCGGACTATAGTGAGTTTCGTCGAGGCAAGTCCCGGAAGCAGCTGCATGACGACGAACAATATTCGTTTGAAAGCGTTTTTCACCGCGCCAGTATTTATTTCTGTTTAATATAGAATTAGTTAGGCATTCCAGTTGAAAAAAGGAGCCTTATGTTATCTTGGTTCTGTGGTGAAATGAAGCAATGTGGTTAGCGGGTAGGCGTTTTATTTACAGTGGTTACAAAACACATTGCAATTTTTGTACATAACTCAAGTAATTTATCAGCACAACTGTCTCCGCAGACCACCTCATTGGAGGTGTGAGGACTGGCAGGCTAGGTTGATACGAAGCATTCCATGTTCCCATTCATTCCTCTCTACACAATAATATAAATATTTTTCTGTTTATTTACAATATTGACAGAGAGTGCAGTTACAAATACACCCGCCTTAAAGAGACAATTATTACACAGTGGCTATTCGGTCTACATAAATTAGGCAATGGGAATGATGCACAGTGCCCAGCCATCGTTTTTTTTGTTGAATCTCGGGAGATGAACAGCTCAAACGTTGACTCGTTTTGTGTTTGAACATGGTGCTAAATTTGAGGGCCGAGTTTCTGTTTCCTCAACACACAGCTACATAGTTAACAAAAGGAACAGCCATAAAACAATTTCCATTGTAATATCTTGGGCACACAATGTCAATCGTAGATTTGTCGTGTATCCGAATCAACTAGGTGACAGTCACCGATTTCTTTTGAGTCGGCCTGATAGATAGTTTAAAAATGGACAAACTGTCAGCATTTTTATGGGAGAACAGAAACAGATATGCGCTGGGTCGATCATAAATTATAAGGAAACCACTAAACAACTCAAAGGGTGACAAATTTAGGCAACTCACATTGACTATGAAGAACAATACCGCAGACGGTTTTCCAAAACCAAAGATATTGCAACACGGTAACACTGTCAGACATCTCACCTGGAACATACTGCACCGAGCGCGCGATGACGCGTGCTTATATTGCCATTCTTTATGTCTAAAACTTTGAATCGTATGTGAAGTTTAAAATCAATACACAAGGAATTTCGTTTCCGCGCCTTAAATTACAATTGTTGCACCGCAAACTCATAATTAGGAGCATTTGACTAAAATGTACAAGTAATTTAACAACTATCACATTCTTATACCTTCCCAAAATAACAGTACTCTCCATCGAATCGTCGAGGGAAAACACAGTTCATTTTTTTCTACACGCTCGCGCACTCACACCCTCACTCACAAACAAGCTCTCTTCTCTCTTACACACTCATACACACCTACAACATTAATCGAGGATCACAGAAATCATTTTAGATAAGGAAGTGCCACAGTGTTCAGCTTCATAGACTCAGCGCTGTCGACACAAGTCCACTCAAACAGACACTGCCGTCCGGGTCCACGTCCGGGACGGCGCGCACTGAGTCCACGTCCCGGCGGGTTGGAGGGCGGCTGACCGGGTCCACGCCGTCGACTCACAGGCCCGCGGCCCTCCCGGCCTGCCGGCATGTTCATCACCGGTGGACGACGTCCTGCGCGCGGCCGTGGGCGCGGCCGTGGGCCAGAGTCCACACCAGGTGGCACACGACCAGGATCAGAGCCTCCGTAGCCGCGGGGGGCGTCGCTCCACTGCTGCTGTTGCCGTGCTGCATGGCCGCGGGGTGCTCGCCTGCAACAGGAAGCGAAATTAATAAATTAACGCGAGTCTGGCGTGGACAGCGGAATGAGCCGCGCAGTGACACGCACCGTTCAGCACGTGCACCAGCACGCTGGCGGGGTCTGAGGACGACGGTGAGCACGTGTAGTTGCCCGAGTCCTCGGGCTGCGCGCGCGCGATGAGCAGCGTGGAGGTGCGCGTCTGCTTGTCCGTGACCACCGAGATGCCGCCGCGCTGCGAGTAGTTCACCACGTTTGGCCCGCGGTACCAGTAGATGAAGGAGGGCGGGTCCGGCGTGGCCACCACCTGGCACGTTAGGTTGATGTCGGAGCCGCTCTTCAGGAACAGCTCCGGGTTGCCCAGAATGGCCGCCTTGGACACTGCAAAACGAGAAACAGAAGCACTCTTTAATAAGGCAGGATACGATGACGGTCCCGTTGGCTTCGACGTCAGCGCCCTGCCACCCCGTCTTTTATTCAGCACCCCGCACAAAAGGCTGCCACTGTTGCGCGTCATCGAAGCGCATTCGCAGCCAAACGGACAGCGTCGAGTTCGCTACCTCTCTCTGCGCAACGAATCGTGTTTTAATGTGGACCGAATACGACTGCAGTCTGGGCGCCAGCGGGCACGGCGGGGCCGGACGGGCGGCATACAATAGCGCTCCAACCCCGCGCGACGAGCCCCGCCCCGAGTAAGCTGATTATTGGTGCTCGAACTGCGAGATCGCTGTGAAGGCCCTGCCTCGCGCCGACGGCCCCCACTGTGCCTTGGCGGCCCCGGCGGCAGTCCAGGCAGGGTCCGCGCAGGGCTGCCTCCAGCGAGTTTTGAGAGCCCGGGGCGCGCATCCAACGCGCGTCCACTGGCCGTTCGTTAGCGCCTGAGTATCCTCGGGCCAAACCCTGAAGAACGATTCAGCCCCTCCCCCTCGGAATAAAGGGGCAACGCGATTGGAATTGGCGCGGCCCTCGACGACAATCAGGCGGGCGAATGTCGCGCGGAAGGTGTGCTACGCGGCGCGACGCGGGAATAATAGACTGGCTGGGCTCGGCACGGCCCGGTCCGCATAATACCGACGCCGTAATGGAGTGCAAAGGCAAGCAGCACACTCTTGGCGGGGCCGAGGTCGGGTCCGGGACCGAGGCCGGGACCGAGGCCGGGCCGAGAATTAGTGGCGTGTTGGCCGCTGAAGCACGCTGCGCGCTAGCTTGGCCAAGTAGCTACTATCAATGCTGGCCGCGTCCGTGATCTGCATGCCATCGGCAGGGCCGGCAGCGAGGCGGCGCCCAGCGAGGCGGCGCCCAGCAGGAAGGCCAGGACGTCCCGGACATCAGCAAGGGTGAAGGCCGGCCTCGGTGATAGTCAGCACGGCCACCAGCGCACCACGGCACCGTGACCTCCATTCGCGCTTCCGTCTCTCTTTCCATCATACTTGTTTCAACTTTTTCTTTAAGCCGCTCGAGACGACGGTGACAGCGAATGCCTCGCCTGACTTTGTCGCCGCCTCGCTCTAATCGAAGCGTTAGTCCAATAATCGGAGGACTACTTGACGGCAACGGGTGACAGGCTAGTGGCAGGTCGAGAGGGAGGGGGATTCGGGGGCGGCGTCCGGAAGAGGAGGGGGTGCCGGATGTGAAGGTCGGCGGCGTGGTGACCGGACCCCCTCTCGCTTTGCAATGCAGTCGGCGAGCCCTTTGGGGAGAGTTATTGGTATTCCAGGGACCCGCCTTCCCCTCCCCCTCCAGCCTGGACAGCGCACTGCTCGTCCGGAGCGAGGAGAAGCACCCGGCAGCGGCCCGCCTACGTGCAGATGCCCGCCGCGATCATCTTGAAGGGATGTATCGATTTATCGACACTTGCCAACTCTGGTGGCCTGGAGGCCTGGCGGCCTGGCGGCACTCTGGGACAAAGGACGACGGGCAAGCAGCGCTGCTGTGCTGCACAGTGCGTCGAGGGGGCGGACGGACGGGTGAAACGTGAAACACCGAGTAAAGTGAAGGCTCTTTAAAAGGGAATCCGTTCTTTGCGCCACGACAGCCGCGCTGCCCGGATATCGGCTAGGCGCCGGCGTCGTGTAGCCAGCCAGCCATCGCGGCGCGTATCTCGAACCCCTTAAGAGCTCCCCGGTGGTGGCGCGCGCTGGCGGCAGCACCCCCTTAAAAGTTTCCAGTACCCGCGCCACCGCGGCTAGGCCAAGGCAAGCCCAAGGAGAGCCGGGAGCCGAGACAAAATGAAAGCCGGCGAAGCATTTAGTCGGCTTATCGGGCGGTGTGGCTGCCAAGTGCTCTGTCTGCACCGCGGCACCACGACGCCCGCTTCGCGGGTTACGGCGCTCACGGCCCGCGTTGCACCCTTGGTGGGAGCGCCTCTCGCTGATATCAACAAATATATGACGCTTCCTGAGGTGGCTCAAGGTCGCATCTCGTATGCTCGCGGAGGGATGGGGAAGGTGAGGGGTGGGGCGGCAAGTAAGTGATAAATGCGTTCCAAGTTTCCCCGGGTCACAAACTTGCCTGCCCGAGGCGGAGCAGGCCGGGGCAGGCAGTAGCTGGGCGGAGCAGGGCCCGGACGAGACGGAGCGGAGCGAGCGCGCGCCGAACCGGCGAGTTTGTGTGACTTTCGGCGTGTCCGCTGCACAGCAAATGGCCCGGGGCCGCTTTCATACAGTTTATGTTTCTCATCAGCAGGGCCTTAATTAAGGCGTGTGTACCCGTCGCCTCGCCCCGCCCAGCGTGCCCGCTCCGATTCGACCGCCGCGCAGGCATTCTCAATGGCTGGGCTTAGCGGCCCAATCACTTTTGACTTGAGGAGGACCAGGCCGAGGCCTTGGCCAGTGGAAGCAGCGCCTGGGCCAGCCAGGCCTGTTTTGTCTGCCAATTGTATGCCATCGCTTGAAACTATTGGCGTTCACTTCCCGACGCGGCGTATTTACGACCGGGCGAGGCGCGGCCGAAGCCGTTTTGGCGCCCCGAGACGCTGGGGCGATTAAACGCCACGGCCGCTGGAAGAAAAAGAGGGAGGACTTACCCACAACACTCATGTGGAAGGACAGCGAGATCTTGGGCTCCGTTGACACCTGGCACTCGTAAGTGCCCGAGTCGCGCAGCTGCGGTGAGCCGATCTTGAGTGTCCACTCGTCCGAGCCGTCCGAGTGGAGCGACTGGAATCGCTGGTCGTTGGTGTACGTCTGCAGCCCCACCGTCAGGATGTGCAGGTCTCGCTTGCGGATCCATGACACCTGCCAGGCCGATGTTTACGATCAGTTGCACAAGCGGACACATTTTTTCGACAGAAAGCAAATGGCGATTCTCTGGCGTACCGCTCTATCGCCCAGGTTCCGCACTCGGCAGTGCAGGTAGGCGCTCTGGCCCACGGTGGTCGTCACGTCCCTCCTGGTCGTGTTGTCGAAGTAGGGCTGCGAGAAGGCCTGCTCCCAGTACGGGTTGTGTGACTCCATGACGGCGCCTGCGAACACACAAAAACAAACGGCCGTTCAGTGCTAGGTCTGCGAGTGCTTGCTGGCTGTACCGTGCGGGCGGCCCAGGCAGGCAGCCCTAGCTGGCGGCATCGGGTGAGGTGGGCAATTCGGCCCGCCACCTTACGACGCCGTCATCCCCACGTGCATGCCTTGCATGGTGCCTGCATGGCGCCTCGCGCAACAGCCACCGCATCGCCACAAATCCGCCGCCAAACTTGAGAGGGCAGTTTGCAAGGCTGCCCGAGGGGAAGAGCAAACAGCGCAGGGGCCAGGTGCGCCGCGTGCGGTAGCCTGATTTCGAACTGCCTCGTACTGCATGCGTGCGAGGGAGACAGAGCGACCAACTCGTTTAGAAGCAGCCCGAAAAAGAGGCGCTGCGGCAACCGGCCGCGCCTTGGGTCTTGGCCGCGCGCCTGCGGAAGGCGGGATAGGCTGTCCCGCTGCGCAGCTGTGCGGCCAAGCAGCCCGGCAGCCTACCCTTCAGGCGTCCACCGTCAAGTGTTTCCAAAGTCCGCCGCTAGGCGGCGGCCCTCTCTGCCGCGGCCCGCCGACCCACGCACACAACCACGGTCACGGACTCGGTCACGTCGGAGCTGTTTACCCGGCGTTTGGCGCGCGACCCTAGACGGCCATCGTCCATGCAAATCGTCCATCACCAAATTGCTGTTCTGGAGTGAGCGAGTCCGTGACAAGGAGGAAGGGGAATCCCTCGGACGGGTCGCCTGGCGGGCGCGACGGGGCGCTTTTATGGGGTACCGCACCGGCCATGGTGAGGGGTGGGGGCAGACTTGCGGTCGGCTGATGCTTAAGCCCGCCAACGTGAATGGATTCGCTCGGCCGCCCGAGGCTAATGAGCAGTCAAGAAGAGTTCCCTAGCAGCCGGACGGGTACACTGTTATCATGCCTAGAGCCAGGAATCCAAACCCAAGATTCCCGTCTGTGAGAGTGCCTCGCCGTTAGTGAGCCTCTTCCTGGGGGAGTGACACTGATTGTCAAGACGGCTCACGCACCGAAGTGCGTCCTGGACGAGCCAGGCGGAGCCGGAAGGCCATCGCCTTGTTGAGCGTCGAGCGCGCGACACCCCTCCCTCTCCACCAATTCCCCTCTGTGCCTAGAAGGCCCTGGAGTGCAGGCAAGTAATAGCACGACGAGGAGATGTGTCTTGACAGCTGTACCTCACGGGGGAGACGAGCTTGACAAGGCGGATAAGGGTTGAGATAAGCCATGCACAGACACACACACACAGTCGCAGAGCCACCCGGGGCGCATTCGTCGGTATGCGGGAGCGGTGGCAGGGGGTGAGGTGGGCTGTGCCATCCGTAGCGACGTACAATTAGAGCTGGGTAGCAGCAGAGTCGCTCCGGGCGCATCCGTACATACTCAATACCTAAATTGCCTCAGCTTGTTCTGCGGTGCGCCCCGAGGCAGTACATAAGACAAAGATGGGGAACTTGGTGTACCGCTGAGCTATTCAAGCATGATCGCCAATGCCTCCCTTTACCACACGCCCCTTCGAACTGCAAATGTCCAGCGTTGCCAATCGGCTGCCTTCGGCTTGGATTCGGTTCCTGGTTCGGTGTTTGGGTCCGTTTGGGTCGATGCCGGCAGACCACAGTCCAGTCCTGGCCGAGCGGGCTGAGCGGTTTGCGTCGTGTTCAAACATCTCCCCCTCGGCCCCGACGGGCCCCATAGGACCCCACTGGGCCACGCTTGTCGTTTAGACCCCCCTCCACTAATCAAACCTCCCGTACGATGGGACGCCCTCGACAGGATAGACCCCCCGTCACGCATCCCCGGCCTCCGAACCCCTCCCCCTCCCGCGCAGGCCTCGTGGGGGGCCGCCCACCGTAGGGACCCGTAGAGCCGTGATAACGGGCGCTACGGTGCGGTGGAGAGAGAGAGACAGAGAGAGAAGGGTGTCTCATAATGACCAGGAGCAGGGGGCGTAGGCGCGCAAGACATAGACAGGCTTGTCGGAAACCTGCCCCGAGTCTGTTTGCACATTGCCTAGCTGGACGCCAGTCCGTGTATACGGTCTCTCTTCCTCCCACACACTAGCTCACAGGCACACACGAACACCCACTGGCACTGGCTCTCTCACACACTCTCACTCGCACATACAGATAATACAAGGGGGAGCAGGCGGGCGAATGCAGATGAGCACACAAGTCATTTTGTTTGCATCGCGCGGTAAATGCTGCAGTGCGACGAGACAAAATATAACGCGTTTGTTTGCAGCCGGCCTAGTCTCCTCTGGGTGACGATAAGGGCCGTGCAGCGCAGCAGCGCATGCCTCCCGGGCTGAGGAGCGGAGCCAGTGCCGATGGCGGGGCGTGGCGGGGCCTTGTTATGGAGCGGTCGCGACGGAAATGCAAGGGAATAAATCCAGATGCGCTGCGCTTTAATGATATACTGCGGTCGAACGAGGGTGGAAACAGGGCCATAGCAAGGAGCAAACGGCCAAGCAGGGGGAGAAAGGGGGCAAGCTGGAAAAAAGTGGGTGCTGCGTTGGCCATAAAGCAGTCCGGGGGGCGGTAGCAGCGTCCCCATATGCACTGCGCTGCCCGAGGCTGGCCGAGGCCAATGTTGACCAGAATTGATTTCATGAAGTCCGTCGCGCTCGCACTGCTCTATCTTCGTCATCTTATCAACATGGGCCCCAGTGTCCACACCCACGCTGACTTTGATCACCGGAGTTTTATGATGGATGCGGCGTCGTCCCCCGATGCGCATGTTGGCTTCCCTGGCTTTTGTTATTGGTTTTATTTTCGTTTTTGTTTGTTGTTTTCAGCCTGATGTGAAAAACACTCACTCATTTCATGACACTGCTGTGAACATATCGGGGGCGAGGGATGGGGAGTACCGTAAACTTGGCGGTCGGCTTTAGCGCGCAGGGGGTAACTTTCATACGTGCGAAAACGCTTCTTTTCCGCTCACGTAAAAAAATAAGAAAACTTGCGAAAAAAATTTAAACAACACAAACCTAGCGCTGCCTCGATTGCCCGGTCCCGAGGTCCTGAGGTTCTGAATCGCTGTTCGGCATTGTGTACCGACAAAAACGGGGCGGTGCCCAACCGCAACGCCGCAACAGGCCACCAAGTGGGCAAAGGTCGCGCTGCACAAGCCGGGAGTGTTATTTACGTGTTGGCCTCACCGCCAACAGCTGCCCCCTGTCGTCCGTTTCCGCCCGATCCGAGAAAAATATAAATCCCCTGTTGCAAAACACACTGCAAAACAGAGGGGGAAAAGAAACATTGCGACGGCAGTGCGCGCGTGAGCCCGACCAGGTGTGATTTATATCCCGAAGAATGAGGGAGCTTGCGGCGCAGCTAGGCCGCCGCGAGGCTGCCGTGCCCCGCCGTGCCGGGAAATGCTCGCAGTGCCGCAATCATTTTTGTTTAAGTGTGAATCTCAGGTGTGGTTCGCAGGCGATGATTTTTGACCAGGAAAAGCACAGATACCACAGGAAAGGTGGGATTGTCCCATCAACGACACCTGGCGTCACCAGCCACCCGAAGCGCAACCCCACCCAGGAAACAGCCGAGAACCGGCAGCGACGGCAGACACGAGGACAAACGCCGGACCTCCGCTTTATGATGGCACGGCTGGCGGTAGATTGAAACCACGCCTAAAATGCGTATAAATGCGTGGAAATGTTTCCAAGCAAACAAGGCGATTTACGGCGAGTCCCGTATATCACTCACGCCAAATCCCATTCACACGGACCGGTTCCACAACCTCGCTCGCAGCGCTACGGCGCGCCACTCGCGGTGTGAGATTGGGAAAGGGGGTGGGGGCGGTTACGGCAGCCCGTCCAATTTCATTTTCATCCGGAGGGCTATTTATGTATCCTGGCGAATTGGGGCGACTAAGTGTCCCCGTCGACGCCGACGTGAACCGCTAGGTGGATTCCAAGACGGGCGGTGGCCCAGATACGCCGGATATAGCGAGCGGGGCGCACGCTCCGAGCTGCAGACCCAGCAGTCCCGCAGAACACCTGCGCGGCTGTTCCAGGCTGCGACCAACCGCTCGTCGACAATCGGCGCGAATTGATTTCCCAGCCGGCGAAGAAACGCCGCTAAGAAAACAATAGGAACGGCTGTCTGATCGTTCCATGGAAAGAAAGGCGAAATGATTTGAGCGAGAGAAGAGGGAGCGCAAGTTGTCCCGAGGGACCGTCGTGCCAGCGCGCAGCAGCAGATCGGCCCTGGAAGGCTGGAAGCCTTTGGCTCCGGCACTGGGAGGGGTTCCTATTAGTGGCAGGATGGAGCGCTGGCGTGGCGTGACGTGTAGGCTGGCTGTGACGTGTCCGGGTCCGGGCAGGTCGGCCGCTATGGACACACCGTCTAGTGGACAGTTTCATTCGAGAGGTGGCGTACAGGTTCGAAAAACGTACTCAGCATCACCTAGGCGAACACCTCAAGGGTTTGCGAGAGAAAAGAGTGCCGGAAGGCCGTTTGCGAAAGGGGCCTCGTCTTTCCAGTTTCGCCACTGTTGATGATAAAGCCTTTTCACCCGGCCTTTCCGCGCACGTAAATGAGCAAACGAACGAATGAATATGGAGGACTGCCTCGCGCCTCGCTTCGAAGGACGCCCTGCTCCGGGGCCCTTTGGTGGCAAGCCTGGCAAGCTTTTTAGGTTTTTCGCGGACTCTGCACCGCAGGGCCCCACCGCAGGGCCGCGGGGCGGAGGGGCGAGGTCGAGACCGCTGCAGCGGCAACACGCAGCCCTCGACGCGCTCTCGGCCTCGCCGCCTCGCCCTTGTGTGGCACCGATGTCAGCAGAGTGTCAGACCCACTTTGACTAGCAAAGGGCCGCACTAAATACGTGCTCCAGCGCCGCGCCCCGCCCGCCTCGCTGCTGTCTGCGCGTACTTTCCTCGGCATGAATGCTAAGCGCGCACCAAGCCCCCCTCCCCCCGGTCTCCCTACAGCAAGTCACGCAAGTTTAACTGACCGAAAGCGAATCAATCGAATCTCCGATGGCA